TTTAGACATTATTGTTGTTTTGGTTATCTGTTTTTCTAGTTTTATTATTTGAAGCTTTGTTATAATCAGTTTTATTATTTAATATCGTCTTTTTCATTGCCCAACATTATTTCTTATTTTTTTATTATTTTGTGCCCCTCTTCAAGATGGACCCAGGCTCACCTAAACTGCCGCCGCGGGGGTCCTTGGCGGGTCCGTGGCAGGCTCCGTGGCGGGTCCTTGGCGGGTCCGTGGGGGTCCGTGGCGGGGTCCAACCCGGCGTTTGGCGTCACCCGAACCTCCCGTTGCGTAGTGGCTGATCTGTTGGGTTTCTTTAAGAGCCTCTCTTTCAGCCTGGTTAATATTTGACAGCGATGCGTCCCCGTCTGTCCTCGCGGGCTCGGAGCCAGTCGCTCGGACGAGGACTTCCCGACCTTGAGACGCGAGCCATGCAGAGGGGGGGAGGGGGGCAGACAGCGCTTACCCGCCCCCGCTCGCTGATCAGTGGGGGGGGGGGAATGCCGGCGACCCTCGTGAGGGAGATCCGTGGGCGGTCGCGAGCGCCGTGCGTCGCCGGGGCAACGGAAGTGTCAGCCGCGGAGGGCATCGGCGGCGCGGGGTATTCTCAGACGTGCCAAGGCCGGGGGGGGGGGGGGGGGGGGCTGTGATCACGCTGCGGGAGATGGATGGGCTCAGAGCGGCTGCGTGATTCTCTCTTTCTCTCTCTCTCTCTTTCTCTCTCTCTCTCTCTCTCTCTCTCTCTCTCTCTCTCTCTCTCTCTCTCTCTCTCTCTCTCTCTCTCTTTCTCTCTTTCTCTCTTTCTCTCTTTCTTTCTCTCTCTTTCTCTCTCTTTCTCTCTCTTTCTCTCTCTTTCTCTCTCTCTCTCTCTCTCTCTCTCTCTCTCTCTCTCTCTCTCTCTTTATCTCTCTCTCTCTCTCTCTATCTATCTCTCTCTCTCTCTCTCACTCTCTCTGTCTCTCTCTCTCTGTCTTTGTCTCTCTGTCTCTCTCTTTCTCTCTCTCTCTCTCTCTCTCTCTCTCTCTCTCTCTCTCTCTCTCTCTCTCTCTCTCTCTCTCTCTCTCTCTCTCTCTCTCTCTCTTACTCTTTCTCTCTCTCTCTTACTCTTTCTCTCTCTCTCTTACTCTTTCTCTCTCTCTCTGTCCGTCCTTCTCTTTCTCTCCGTCTCTCCTGAGAACTGAGCTCATTAGCAAGGAAGTCTGAGCGCCGAATATGCGTCAAGCTTTGTTTATCTCGTCCGCGCCAGAGGCAGCCACAGCGCCTCAGGGTCTGGCGTCATAGCTGTCTCGGCTTTTGTCTCTTAGGGGGGAATGCAGGTCCTCAGAGAGAGCGTGGCGGGGGAAGGAAGGAAGGAGAGAGGAAAGGGGGAGGACGGAAGGAAGGAGGGAGAGAGGAAAGGGGGGAGGAAGGAAGGAAGGAGGGAAAGAGGAAAGGGGGAGGAAGGAAGGAAGGAGAGAGGAAAGGGGGGGAAGGAAGAAGAGAGAGAGAGGAAAGGGGGGAGGAAGGAAGGAGAGAGAGAGGAAGGGAAGGAAGGAAGGAGTGAGAGAGAGAGGGGAGGGGTAGAGATAGAGAAAGAGGGAGGTGGAGGGGGAAAGCAGGAGAGAGAGAGAGAAAGAGAAAGGAATAGAGAAAGAGAAAGAGAGAGGGAGGAATAGATGGAGATAGAGGGAGATGGAGAGAGAAAGCGGGAGAGAGGAAGGGGGGGAGTGAGAAGAGGGGGAGAGTAGATAAATGAAGGAAAAAAGAAGGAAAAAAACAAAGTGAGAGACCCTCGCTTATTCTATTCGCTGCTTCTTGCTTCCGCATAAAGCTTGGGGGGAAGAGTAAGAAAAACGAAAATAAACGAGAAGAAAAGACGGAGGAGAAATAGGAAGAATTAGAATTTGAAGATGAAGAGGATGAAGGGGATCTGAAGAAAAAGCGGGCGATGGGGTTAAAAAGAAAAGAAAGTAAATGAGGAAGATAAGAAAGCCAAAAAGAAAGGCCTACAAGAGCGTAACACAAAAGAGGTGAACGCGACGCCACGCGAGGGAAGGCATTTTCATGTCGTCAGTTCTATCGTCAGCATTTCCTAATACCAGCAGAATTGACTTTTGACCATCATATAGTTTTTGCTGTAATTGAAAATAGATTATTTAGATTTAAAAGCATTTGTTATTAACGAGGCTAGTTCACGCGTGCCGTGATGGGTTGATAAATTGTTTACGAGGTCATGCAGCCTCGGCAGGAAATTAATAAGGAGGAAGCAAGAGAGAGAGAGAGAGAGAGAGAGAGAGAGAGAGAGAGAGAGAGAGAGAGAGAGAGAGAGAGAGAGAGAGAGAGAAAGAGAGAGAGAGGGGGGGAGAATGAGAGAGAGAGGGAGAGAGAAAGAGAGAAAGAGAGAGAAAGAGAGAGAGCGAGAAAGAGAGAGAGAGAGAGGGAGGGAGGGAGAGAAGGAGAGGGAGGGAGGGAGGGAGGGAGGGAGGGAGGGAGGGAGGGAGGGAGAGAAGGAGAGGGAGGGGGAGAGAGAGTGGGAGAGAGAGAGAGAGAGAGAGAGAGAGAGAGAGAGAGAGAGAGAGAGAGAGAGAGAAAGAGAGAGGGAGGGAGAGAGAGAGGGAGGAAGAGAGAGAGAGAGAGAAGGAAAAGGAGAGAAAAAGAGGGAGAGGAGAGAAAGAGAGAGAGAGAGAGAGAAGGAAAAGGAGAGACATAGAGGGAGAGGAGAGAAAAAGAGAGAGAGGAGAGAAAAAGAGGGAGAGGAGAGAAAAAGAGGGAGAGAAGGAGAGAAAAAGAGGGAGGGAGAGAGAGAAAGAGGGAGAAAAGAAAGAGAAAGAGAGAGAGAGAAAGAGAGAAAGAGAGGGAGGGGGAGTGGGAGGGAGGGAGGGAAAGAACAAAAAGAGAGGGAGAGAGAGAGAGAGAGAGAGAGAGAGAGAGAGAGAGAGAGAGAGAGAGAGAGAGAGAGAGAGAGAGAGAGAGAGAGAATGAGCAATATGAAGCACCTTGTCACCTGACGAGAAGCGATCACTACCCGTTCCGTTTCGCAAGGTGCTTGAAGGCCTTGATTTGCGAATCTCTTCTTTTTCACCAACTTCCTCCCTTTTTGATTGCGGAAGCAACCCTCTCTCTCCTTCGCCGTGAATACTTGGACGCAGGCATTTACGAAGGAAGGATTAGCCACAGAAGTGGATCTCCTCGTATCCGCGGCGAGAGGCCGGGTTGCGTCATCCCCCTGGCGGCGGCGTCACGTGGTTCCTCTCCCCGTCAGCTGAGAGTTCCTCGCCCTGTAAATTTAGCCCCGGCTGGTTAATGTTAATTCATTTCTGTGTTGTTTTGTGTTGTTCTCATTTTATTTATCCCAAACGGACTCTTGCGTGACTTGCACGACGCGGGGGGGTCCTGACCTAGCGTAAGGAGGCGCGGGATTTCAAGGCCGCCTAAAAGCGGCGGCGCGGCGGAGGAGGCGCACGTGAGGCGCCTTGGCACCGCGCCGCTCGCCTCGGCACTTGTTCCTTGTTCCGCGACGGGCCAGGGGTGTGGGGCGAGGGGGGGGGTATTGATTATGTGTGTGTTTTAATCGCGATGGAAGAGGCGTGGAAAAGTTGGTTTCATTGAGGACGGCGTGCCAAACACGCGGGAAGACGGGTTTTTCTCTTCATTCCTGTGTTAACAACATGCAGCTGTATAGCAACGCGTAGACGTGGAACCAAATATTATTATTATTATTATTATTATTATTATTATTATTATTATTATTATTATTATGTTATTATAATAATAATAAAATAATAATAATTATCATTATCATCATCATTATCACCTTCGTCGTCGTCGTGGCCACCATCGTCCTCGTCCTCCTCATCGCAGGTGAACCTCCCGAAGCCCTGCTCCCCGCCGCGCCAGAGCTGAATCCCGGGACTTTGCTTGTTTCCGCAGCGCCGATTTTGGCCGGCGCTGCCAGGCACCGAGTGATGCACATTGTTCCCGCCGCGGGCAAGCGGCCGAGGGCATGGCGCGAGCGCTGCTTTCTGCCCAGTCTTTCGCTCTCTCTTTGCTTTTACTCTTTTTCTTTTTCTTCCTCCTTTTTCTCTTTCTTATTTTCTATTTCCCTTTATATCTCCTCTGTATATATTTTTGTTTCCTTTTTTCTCTATGTTTTTTTTTTTCTTTTCTTATTTTTTCATTTAAATATTTTCTCCTGCAACCCATTTTATTATTTTTTTCTTTAACTCACTTTTAACTCAGAGCGAGAGCAGAGCCGTATGAAAAAGATCTTTTCGGCGCCCCCCCGGCGCGCGCCCGTCAGCCTGGGCCTTGCGTGTCACGGCCGCGTCGGCGACCTTGGCTCCGGAAGGTCAGCGGCGTCCGCCCGGTGCCAACCGCCTTACCTCGTTTTAGCAATGGATCGACTGTTGGATGGAATTTGCTTTTCCTCAAAGTACTGCTATTCGAATATGGTAGTTTAAGTCATTAGTTTGTGTTATTCGTTTTTTTTTATCTGATTCCTTGTCTCTTCTCTGGCGACTTGCCTTCTGTATCTTCGCCCGTCGCCTCGCCCTTCATTCACCCGAGTGTCATCGCATTCGCTTCTCTGCCTCGTGTCGTCGTGGCTTCCCCTGAATTCGTCTCTGGTGTTCTCCGGCCGCCGTCCTCGAACTCGGTATCCGGCTATTTCTAGTTTCTCGTTGTTGTCAATCGCTGTTTATTTCTTTGCTTCTTTCTTTTCTCTTATTCCATTCTCTGTCTACCTATTGTTCCCACTTCTTTCTGTCTTTCTTATATAGTTTTCAACGATTATTCTCTATCCTTCCTCTATTCTTCCTTCCTATTCTATTATTTTTCTCCCTCTTCTTTCCTTCTTTTTATCTCCCTTTTCGTTCTTTCTCTGTGTTTCGCTCTGCTTCCCTCTCTCCTTCCCCTGGTTCTTCCTGCCGAGGATGAAGGAGGCGAGAAGGACGGCGGCAGGAGGATCGAGAGACGAGAGTCCGGAAGGAAGCCGGGGGGGGGGGGGGACGGGCGTGCGGCGGGCATCAAGCAGGAGGTAGGCAGTGGGATTTGGGAGGGCGGGGGAGGGCATCGAGCAGGAGGTGGGCAGTGGGATTTGGGAGGGCGGGGGAGGGCATCGAGCAGGAGGTGGGCAGTGGGATTTGGGAGGGCGGGGGAGGGCATCGAGCAGGAGGTGGGCAGTGGGATTTGGGAGGGCGGGGGAGGGCATCGAGCAGGAGGTGGGCAGTGGGATTTGGGAGGGCGGGGGAGGGCATCGAGCAGGAGGTGGGCAGTGGGATTTGGGAGGGCGGGGGAGGGCATCGAGCAGGAGGTGGGCAGTGGGATTTGGGAGGGCGGGGGAGGGCATCGAGCAGGAGGTGGGCAGTGGGATTTGGGAGGGCGGGGGAGGGCATCGAGCAGGAGGTGGGCAGTGGGATTTGGGAGGGCGGGGGAGGGCATCGAGCAGGAGGTGGGCAGTGGGATTTGGGAGGGCGGGGGAGGGCATCGAGCAGGAGGTGGGCAGTGGGATTTGGGAGGGCGGGGGAGGGCATCGAGCAGGAGGTGGGCAGTGGGATTTGGGAGGGCGGGGGAGGGCAGCAAGTCTTAGGGAAGGCTGGAGGAGAGTGAAGATTATGAGGATTTTGCCGCGATGAGGGTAGAGGGGGAAGGGAAAGGGCAATTAGGCTGAAGGGCTTTGGAAAGAGGGGGTGCGAGTGAGGGTAGGAAAGGGCACAGGAATACCAGAAGGGCACGAGGGCACAGGGCACAAGGGAGAGACAAACAAGTGAGGGAAAAAAGAGGTAAAGCAAGACAAAAAAATCAAAATAAAAAGCGGCATGCAGCATCCTGAAGAGAGCGTAGGCAGCCGGAGGCGCGGAAGGGAAGGCGGTCAGAGGGGGGGGGGAGGCGTTGAGGGAACGGCGCGTGTGTTTCCTCCTGCCGTCGACGAGGCCCCGCGACGTCTGGCGCCCCTCGCGTACGGGGAAGGACCCGCCTTGCCCTTCGCGGCTCCCCGGCTTCCTCCTGCTCATGCGGGGCGTCCTGCCTGCTGGTTCGTGCTCTCCTTTAAGCAGAGATTTCTGATTAATGGATTTTTATTTTTAGTCGGTTTGCGTTGATGGTCCGGTCCCTTCCTTAAGGAGTGAGTCTTGACTTGATGGGTTTTTACTTTGAGTTGCTGGTGTGGATGATTTGGTTTATTAACGTTCCTGTCTCTCCGCCTTCCCCGTTTTTTTCTATAATACTGTGAGCGATTCTTGATTAACATGCGAATGGCGAGCTGTCTAAGGACTGCCATGCCTGTATTCCAAGTTGAATGACGTAACGAGCTGAATTAATGATAAAGTTGGGACATAGGACCGCGTACAGGCTTTGAATACAGATAACTGCACCACGAACCCACAAGAATATATGGACGCAAAATTACAAACCCTCTCTTGCGAGTAGCGACAAGGAAAAGAGAGAGTACACGCAAACGCAAGCGCTTACACACACACACACACACACACACACACACACACACACACACACACACACACACACACACACACACACACACACACACACAACACACACACACGTTCTCTCTCTCTCTCTCTCTCTCTCTCTCTCTCTCTCTCTCTCTCTCTCTCTCTCTCTCTCTCTCTCTTTCTCTCTCTCTCTCTTTCTCTCTCTCTCTCTCTCTCTCTCTCTCTCTCTCTCTCTCTCTCTCTCTCTCTCTCCCCCTCGTCGTCTTCCTCATCCTCTCCCTCTCCCTCCCCCTCCCCCCCCAAACTACGCCCTGACGAAATCAGTAACAGAATAACCAAAGAGCATCATCCTACGACCACGTAATATCTTCGGCGTCGTTTCCAGCCGGACCGTCTCTCTCGTGTTGCAAATTGATGACTAGGACCTCGCGAAGGCCATCCCGCCGGCGTCGTTCGTGCAGTCCCATCTCTCGTGCTGCCTGAGAGGCCTTTCTTCGGGCCCGACCGTGCTCAAGTGGCGATCATGTTTAGTGGGAAAATGCGGCGCTAATGCTGAAAAGGGAGTTAATGTGTTTTCCTGGGGTTAGTAGAGAGCTTTTAGTTTTTAGTGTATTTCTTCTGCTTCTTTTCTTTCCTTTTCTTTTTTTTATTTATTCAAAGCATATTATCTCGAGCACTTCATTTATTTGGCGCGTAGTCGAGTAATATATGAATCATGAGGATAAATAAAACAAATGACGCGCAACACGGTAAGTGTAATAGACGATTTAAAGATAGATTATAAAGATTTTAAGCTCGAATATTTAGTTCTGTTCTGCTCCGAATCTCTTGCGTTTGATGCGTAATCGAATGCCAGATAAAAGGGGAGCTGAAACCAATGGGAAGATGTAATGAACGCTTAGAATGCAGGACATGCCGTAAGGTAGAACGCAATATGGCGTCATCAGGATGCAGAGGCGGTCGTGGCGGCTCCTGATGCGGCCGGACTCGAGGGCAGGAGGAGGAGGAGGAGGAGGAGGAGGAGGAGGAGGAGGAGGAGGAGGAGGAGGAGGAGGAGGAGGAGGAGGAGGGGGGGGAGTGGAGAAGGAGGAAGAGTAGAGGGAGAAGGATTGGGAGAGGGAAACGGAAGAGTAGTGAGAGGGTGAATGGGAGGAGAGGGGAGAGGAGGAGATAGAGTTGAGGTAGAAAGTTCGTAAGTCGTAAGGACGAAGAGAGAGAGAGAGAGAGAGAGAGAGATAAGAGGGGGAAAGGAACTGAAGTTTATTTGTTGACCTTAACCGCTCATAAAGGGCACAAAAACATGTTAGCAATTCACTAATTAGAGACCGAATGCTCACGCCTTTCGGTTGGCGCTTCACTTTCCTCCTCTTTATACAAACGTAGTCATGATGACCTGGAAAGCGTCAGTGAAAAATGGACAAAATCTCATGGCCAGTGGCGGGCTGTCAAATACATATCCCTCAGGGGGCCAGATTTCACCTTAGTAGACCGTATGCGGCCCAGATAATCATGACTCGACGCGACGAAACGGCCGTATGGTTGACGTAAAAACGTAGGAGGCAATTTAATTCGTTACAAAAACGCAATAATAGAATGGAAGAGTGGAGGTGATAGTCTAAAATGACGAAGGACTAGCTGCCTGAAGTCATCATGTAAAACGTCCGACTGTAAGTCTGCCGCGGGCCGCGTGTTTGACCCCCCTCCCCCCCCTGACCTATGGGAGTCAGGAACGAAGCTCCGTCATGAACAGGGGTGAGAGCGAGCGCATTCTGGTGGGAACAGGAGGAATTTCCATGACGTGGAGATTACACGATATTTTTTATATAACTCAGGGTATATTGAATCCTGTAGTTTTTTTACAGTGAGATTTATGGATTCGAATTACGTTTAGTCTGGAAATTGTGCATTATATAAAGTAATCTTATAGTAGCTTTCGAGTCATTTGAAAATCCATCCCTGTCTGTATTTTTTCATGTTATGAAATCGTATTGCGTTCGGTTGATGAGGCGGAGGGCGATTCAGTATCGTCAGAGATGTCTTTTCTATTACTAACCGTTAGAATTGACCAGCTACATAATCATCTGTAATAGCTTTATGAAATAAATACATTTTTTATCTCCAATGTTACGGCTGGTATGGCATTCAGTAATCATGTACATAAGTATATAAGATGACTCATTTCACCGAAGGGAAAGTAGATTGTAATACAGGTAAAAATGTGAAGGTTTAGCTACCTTAGCCGCAAGCCTGTATACTTACAAAGAGACCTTGCCTAGACGTGTTCTCTGCCTGTATTTTGTTTATTAATGTATTTATCATCTTCAGACCATTATGTTTTATTATTATTATTATCATTATGATTACTATTATTATTATTGTCGTTGCTTCAGTTTTTTTCTAAACAACGAAGGATAAAATTGCTTTTGTCTTGAGCCGAGATCCCCTAGAGTCCCTGCGTGTCGAGCTCGGAAGCGGCCGTCAACAAACACCCACACGACACTTTGGGGCCGCCCGACAGTGCCGGAACGGTGCCAAGGGGAAAAAGGGTGTTTACCATACGCAGTGGCTGAGAACGTCAACAAATATCATATATCTGTGATCTCCTAAAACTTATTATGCTTTTACCTGAAGCTCATACCTTTTATTTTATTGTTACTGGCATTATACTCCAGTAGTCTCTGCACGACGGGGAATATAAGCTTTTAGATTCGAAGGGTTGAAGCCATACGTTGTAGGGAACAGCGTCCGCGTGGGCGTGAGGGGGGTGGGGGGCGGTGGTTATTTTAAGTGTTGTGGATTACGTAACAAGGCTTACTCCATCGCTCTCGGCGCCGCGCATACAGTGTTCTCTCTAGTCCTAGGTGCGTTCGGGGTACAGCCCTTGGAGGTGGGACTGGGATGTGCGTGTGTGTGTGTGTATGTGTGTGTGTGTGAGAGAGAGAGAGAGAGAGAGAGAGAGAGAGAGAGAGAGAGAGAGAGAGAGAGAGAGAGAGAGAGAGAGAGAGAGAGTGTTTGAGTGCAGCATGTGCGTGTGTGTTCTGATCTCATGTTAAATGTAGGGCGCGGCACCGGTACAGTCCGGTTACAGGAAGCGCCATGAATGAATGGACGAGTGAGTGTAAGTCTCTTAAGGTCGTAAGGCAGTCGCACCCCCCCCCCCAACGCCATGGCCGATTTCCGGTTTAAATATCATCATAGCCGTTTTCTGTTTCAGAGTCCCCGGTTAAAATTGTATCTGGGCACGCGGGTACGACTTATCTTGTGCGGGCATTGCATAATGGGTGTTCTCTGTCACCCTGCTGCCAGGAAGCTTGAGTTGCCAGGTGGTTATTTCTGTGTGTATTTTTCTCTTGGCTTTGAAATTGCTCTAATTCTCGGTCGTGTTGACATTTCAACACGAAGATTCGTTTCCGATCGGAGGGAAATCGGCCGGATTGATCGAGATCAGATTTAAACGTGCGCGCACTCACGCACGCACGCACGCACGCACGCACCCACACACACACACACACACACACACACACACACACACACACACACACACACACACACACACACACACACACACACACACACACACACACACACACACACACACACACACACACACTTGTGTGCGTGTGTCGTATTTCTTCACACAAGAATACCCAGATTTCACGGAAAGCATTCTAGAAGTCTTGCGGAAGAAGCTGCCAGCCAAAAGCCAAGAAGAGAGCGCGAGAGCAAATCAGAAATCAATCCCACTGCTTTCACGGCTCAAGTGAAAGGCAATTAGCGGTCACGAGAGCAACTGCGGAGTCGTCAGCCCTGCTCAGCGAACGTCCTCTCGCTGAAGAATTTTTATCGACTTTAGAAAACGTCTTGGAAAGTCGATAGGCGAGGGAGGTGTGTACACGGGGCTCTGTTCTGATTGGTCGGCTGGGTTGCTCTTCGAGCGCCGATTGGCCGGATTCTCCCCGCGTTGTCGTGTGATTGGCTGTTCCGAAGGGCGCGGGTCCGGGAACTGTTCGAATGAATCGGCTTCGTTTCTTTGTTTTTGAATGTCAGCGGAGTGTTCATGCGGCTTGGCTTTTTTGTCATCTTTACAAAAAGTAAAATATTGTGCGACGAGAGGGTTATTGTTTGAACATTTTCCAAATGCCTGTATTAGAACGTGATTGGATTCCTGCGCTGCATATTCCCGCACGCAGTTTCAGTGCATAAATTTGAATTATTATTGCAGCAGCCTGTCTGCCTGAGCACAGTTTCTAGTAACATTCTAGTTTCTCTTTTTTTCTTTGTTATAGATAACTGCGCAGGCGCAAAGTCGAGATCTATATCCTGCTGGCATCCTGCCAACCAAGACACACGCTCACACAAGCACTCGCACAAACGCACGCGCGCGCACACACATACACACACACACACACACACACACACACACACACACACACACACACACACACACACACACACACACACACACACACACACACACAAGCGCGCGAGCGACCATAATGTGTACACATAGTGATACAGGTATGAAACCATTGACATGCGTTTGGCACCACGCACATGTATAAACGCTTACTGTACTTACGCACACTCACGACGGAAGGATATGATGAGAAAGTGTGTGTGTGTGTGTGTGTGTGCGTGTGTGCGTGCGTGCGTGCGTGCGTGTGTGTGTGTATGCGTGCGTGTATGTGTGTGTGTGTGTGCGTGTGTGTATGTGTGAGAGAGAGGGAGAGAGAGAGACAGGCAGATAGATAGATAGAGAGAGAATGAGAGAGAGAGAGAAGAAAAAGAAGGGGAAGAGAGGAAAACGAGCGAGCGACGAGGGAGCTTA